ACCACTGTAAGAAACTACATGCAGTTTGATATTTAATACCGAATACCTTACATTCATTAATTGAATCGCACCGTCATTAAATCGTCCATGTTTCCATCATCGTTTTAATAAGTTTGAGCAAATAGTTGTGAGGTTCGCAGAATTTGGCAATTTCTTTAAAGTTCTGCCGCTGCGGAAAGGATGATGTCGTCCCATATGTAACTGTTTGTAGTTTGTATTCTTCTATCGGCTCTCCTTTGCTCTTCACAATAATGCTGATAATCTTGACTTATGTTACTTTAATTTGTCGAAACATCTTTCAATACTAGTTAATACTTACGTCAAAGTTCCATTTGAATATAATGTCAAATATTTTTGAAGCCCCATGAAGAGATACACGAACCACATCCAGTTGTAGTTTATGCAGATGCATCAAAACTACCGTAATAGTTGTTAGATGTCTACTGAATCACTGCTTGATGTGGCAAGTAATACTTTCCGCATTTATTTTCAATTTGCTTTTTCCATATGACCCATTTCTAAATATTCTCCATAAATTGCACGTATTGTTTTCTTAGTCATCATTTATAGCGAACCTTTTTAAGATTAAGAAACCTCGTCATAGTTTCATAGCGCGAGTCTCCAATTTTTCTTTTAAAGGTGGTAGATTGACGAACGATTATTTCATCTCTTTGTGTTTCAAAAATTGTTAGCATTCGTCGTCATTTGCTGTATTTGTTGGAGTTGTGGTGTCTTCTATTTCCCAAAATTCTATGTTGTCGCAACTGCTCCTAAAATTGTATTGTTTTCCTATGATTAGTTGCTTAGAATCTGGTTGATTTCGATGTTGATTTTAAATTTGGACAATTTACTGTAATTTCCTAAACCTTCCTTGATCGATTAGAGTTCGCATATCACGTACTCCATTTGCTGAATTCACTCTTTATTTGAGCTGCTGTTAGAAGTATTGTCGTTTCGGAGTTTTCGTCATTAATAGAGGATTTTTGGTGATATTTTTCACTTATTCCTTCGTTTTGGAATGCATAATGCAGCAATGATGATTTTTAACACTTATTACATTTTCCTCATTATTACTTTGTCTCATATACAAGATCAAGGTAATTATAGCATAGTTTGTTGTCGTACTATTCTCAACGATTCATCGTATCTACGCCTGAACTGTTTGCATTCAAAATTTTACGCCCAGGGAACTTGCAGAATACAAGTTTTGTATAGATGTAAAACAGGTGTTCGTTGTGATGCTTTGGTGGTTCCATTTAGCTGCTTCCGTCTCATATTTCTAGAGCTTGATATCGTTGTTCTAGAAATGGAAAACATCATCAAAAGCCTGTATATCCTGTTATTAACATTCTGATCGTATAAACGGACTCTCTTGTCTAGTTTTCGAACCACATCCGAGCTATGACGTCGTTTAATTTAAATTGCGTCCTTAATGCATAACCACCTTTGGTGGTATCCAAAGTGATTCATGCTTGCTGCACTTTTCCATTTCCAGTTAGTTATTGATCGATGTTTGTCAACTTGTCCTGTGAATTGTAGTCTATTCTCATACACCTTCCTGAAGAATTTACGCGCTCGTATTTGATGTTGAATTAATCTACCAGCTTCTTCAATTTAATATGCCTTCGCCTGCAACATTATCTTTCACTTCAGTAAAAGCTTCGAATTATGTGAATGATAACCATGGTTTGTTCCATAAAATGTTGTTGGAATTTTTATTTCTTGTAGTTTTATGTTAGAACACACTGCTTGTGTTGGAGTGTTCTTGTTTAAATTTTCCATTACTTTTTTTAAGGCAAAATTTATTCTGGTTGAATTTCTTCTATTTGCTCCATCATTAAGTCTTTCTTCATTATTTTTAAATGGATATTATTTGCTTCTTCAACAATTTTAAAATGTATTTGAAGCTTCATTTTAATATCTCTCATTTCTTCAAGAAAATCCAGTTCATTTATTTTTATTTCTGCTAATATCTTGTTTAGCTTTTGTACTCGACGTTGAAATTTTCGTTCAACATCGGAAGCAGAATCTGGTGGTTCCATTTGGCTTTTTTGTTGTATGGATCCAGTAATCCACCTGCTATTTGAATTTTTAAATTTTCAATGGAATTTTCCATTATTTATATAAGATGCACATAATATTTTTTGGCAATGTATTCACCGGTTTATTGACTTTTTTTTAGCCATAATTTTGCTATGGTTTCCTTTAAATTCCGTCATGATTGTCTGAATATGTTCGATATATTCAAGAAGCTTTCCTTTTAAGTATTTTTTGTTCCTCTAGCGCAGCAATATCGCTCAAATCCGTTTGCCTCTTTAATAAATTTTCAATGATGATTTAATTTTTTGTTTTTATGTTTTGATTTTGTCTGTTTGTTTTTTAGCACTGTTAAACTTAAAACAAAAGTGTTTTTTTTTTTGCTTTTCCGTTTCCACAGAATCGGGTTTCGCTTATGCTAACTTATTTATATAAATGCGGATAATCTTTGTTATTCCGGCTTCCTTTTATATTTATTTTCGTCATTTCTTTTTTAGGCTTAAGAGAGAGATGTCCAGTAAAACCTCTTAGAGGCTGGGTATTCCTATTTCTGCAAAATTTTTAGCCCACAGGTACCCTTTCCTCACTTTTCTGCCAAGGAATACCTCTGCTAAGTTTCATTAGGATATCTCAATTTTACTCAAGTTACAACTTACAAAGGTAGACAGACATCCGGATTTCAACTCGTCTTGTCATCCAAATCATTATATATAATATATGTATATAACTCCTCTGTGTCTTGATTAGGCTTAGGTTATATAAACAACCGTTGGGTGAACAAACTATTATACTCTGTAAACATGCTGCAAGAGTATAAAATTAACATCTTATGTTGATTTCTGGTAAATAGCAACTCAAAGAAAATTTGTGCAACCATTTTCGAAGTCATGTTCAAATTTTGGTAAATATGTACTTAATGACCCCATTCGTAGGGGTTGGGGTTGTAAGGGGTGACACAATTAAGTGTCCTTTTTATGAATTCGAAGGAATTACCCGGTCACCCTTAAAAAAAGTTTTGTAGATTACAAATCCGTGAGCGGAAAGTGAATTTTTCAATAATTTATGTATATTTTTAATATTTATTTACACACTTTGCACATATCACATATTCAAGCA